CAAAAGCCTGAGTTGCCATCATCCCCTCTGCTCTCTGGGGGACACCTCGGGTTACACAATTACTCTGCTTCACCAAAGGGGAAAAGGCCTCACACAGCATTTCCCAGGAGAGATGGTTACAACAATAAAGTCCCCAAAATAAAGGCTAGGCACACACATGCTATTTTAAGGGCATTGTGCTCTAATATTTTTCCATCATTAAAGAACACATCTCTTCCTTCCTGCGTCTGCAAAGTCCTGATGCCGGCAGTGTTATTAGGAACTGTCAACAAAGCAGGGAAAGAGAGCGCCCGAGCCAAGTTTGGCAACCTCCCCCGCGAGGCGCACCCTGCCACCTCAGGGCCAGTGACGCCACCGACTGCCTCCGTGGAAGGAAAAGGATGAAAAGCCCGGCTTTCACAGCTTCACTATGCTACTCAAGCCATAGATCACAAGAGAAATTGAAGAAGCTTAAGAGAACCCAGGGTTAATCTGAATGCCTTATAAGTTAAAATGGTGAAGAATTTGCCCACATATCCCTTCATAGAAGGCCAAGGGAAAGTAAGTATGAAGGAAGAGGTAAGAAATATCACTGTTGTCTTTGTTAGTCCCATTAACTCCTTTGGCACTGGCGGTACCAAACAATTTGACTTCATCCCTGATGTCAGTGGTCGAGAGACTAGAAAAATCTATCAAGAGGAGACAGAAGAGAGATCATCTGCTCACGGGTACCTATCTTCCTCCTCCACATCACTGCTCATGTTCCATGTCGCTACTTCCTCAGACTGGCCCTCCTGCACTTCAAAAGCTACGTGGTGTTCAAGTGCATGAAGTGCAGAAGAGGCGGGGCCACCTTCTTTAGAATGGGCCCCGGGCTGCCCTCCTGCCCTGGGAGCAGCGCGGCCTGGCCAGTCACTATGCAGAGCTCACAGCACCCTGACGAAGCCAGCATCTTCTGTTTGCTGCCTTGACAGATGACTTCAGACAGACTTCACTCAGAGGGTGAGAAAAATAGCCACCCTTCTTAGAACCCCACTGTTCTCTTTGCTTGGTTGCTGTTGTTTTTATTTGCTTGTTTATTTGCTTGCCAATTGAAGCCCTGTTCCCAGCCCACAAAGCTTTTCTGCCTACACAAATATGCTTTTTAGTAAAGACGAAGGCCCGGTTGCCACCAACTTTGGTAAAATATATACAGGATCCAGTACAAATAACACCCTTTGTTTTATTACAAAATCATAAGCATGTAATTCTCTAACATAAACAATATCACACTCAAGCACACCCCATGACATGTTAGGTAAAATGTGCAAATTAAAACTCTAAATTATTACACCCATGTTACTACCCTACCAACCACACTCAAGCAGGCCTTACTTCTGCTGGACCCTGTGCATGTGATTTCAACTGCAGCGCTATTTCCTTATGTTCTCAATAAAGGTAACAACCTTTGAAACAATTAACTTAAACTGATCTAGAGTGTCAGAGTCAATACCAATTAACTTCTTTTCCATTTTAAAGGTATCCTTAGTCACATCTGAGAGTGGATGAGTCCACAGCTCTTTCCTGAACAGAATGAGGGAAAGTTTTCCATCCCAAAGAGTGTGTTCTAGGACGGTATGAAATGCTACCGTTACTCTGAAGACCCTGGGAAAGGATACATTTTTTAAAGTGAAACTAAATTGTTGAAGTTTGACATAGGTGTTGGGTGATTTGAGTTCTCATTAGTGTTTAATTTTATTTAACCCAAGACTTATTACCCTCAATTTCCAGGGTGAAGAGAAATCCTGTGATCAAATTTCTTGCTTGGGAAAAAAAGATAATGTGTTAGACTCATAAGTATGAATAGAAACAGGTAAACAGTCATATTCCTTCGGACTCCGTAATTTAAACAGTGTAAGTCAGCGGGGAAGGGCTGTAACCGGAGCCACAGTGAGTGAGGTGAAAATTACTAGGTGTTGGAGCATCTGCATCTCATTTTAATTAGGGGACTAGAATGGCAAGATCAAAAACTTTTTCTTGTCACTTAATCTGTTGAGCTTCCTAATCAAGAAACCAAAGGGCTTGTTTTGTCCTCTGTAAAGACTGACCCAAAAAGATCCTCTTTAATTACTAGGCCAGACCAGCAGACAGACCTGGGCCCAGGGACAGAGGAGGGCCCAGCGTCGGCCTGAGGGCAAGGTACTGGGACACCAGCCCCACAAAGAGGCTTCCAAGGAAAGCCACCCCTCATTTAGCAACTTGGAGTTTTCGCTTCTCACAAGGCAAAGTCCTTCAAAAGGAAGCACATGTCACATTGTGAGTCTGTGGGTTTGGGTTCTAGTCCTGGCTGGCCTCGCCATTTGTGGGACAGTCATTGAGACTCTGGGCGCTTCCTCTCCCCCATCTGAGAAATAGGCTTCATGGCAGCCCTGCCTACCTCCCCACAGGGAGTAAAAGTCAAATGAGGTGAGTGCTTTGGAAACTCAAAATCCCAACTGGCATTCCCAAAGAGGTCCCAGTTCTCTAAATCTTCAAATTAAATAAATGACGTTGAGTCCCCATCCTGCTGACACTGAAAATGTCTCTTTTTTCTCTCCCCTAAATACTTCTTATCTTCCAAGAAAAGCAGCCAGGCAGACCTGGTTAAACAAAAGCCCTGCTTGACCCGACAGAGTTCCAGCTCTTTTCCTCATTCTGGAGGCCTCAGCCACACCAGGCCTGGACGGAGGCCCGGGGGCTCTAAACTGCCTTCCTCCTCCACCCCCAGAGGGCTCCTCTGGGGAGAACAGGTCGTGCCCTCTATGAATCTGACCTCTCCTGCTACCTCGGACGCCCGTCTGCTTGGCCCACCGTTGAGTCCGGGCAGGTGTCTCTGGCCTCCGGAACGGGCCCAAGAATGCACTGCAAGGAACACAGCTGTCAGTTAGTTGGCTGACCACCCTGTCTGCACGGCACCTGCACGTGTTGCCCAGTGACCTTGGCTTGCCTGCCTGCTTTGGTGACTTCTTCCCTGAGCCAATATACTCGTGGCCATTGTCCCTGAGCACACCTGTAGTGATGCTCTGTCCAGGCCCAAAGCATTGCCAGTCTCAGCTAAGTCGGCCTGGAAGGAAGTACCACCCACCCAGTCCCCAGCCTATCCCCAGCTTCTGTCCCAAGAGTCTGTGACATTTCATTGAAGAGAAAAACTACTTTGTTAAAACTGTAAAGAATTATAGCATAAAACATAAGTGACAGCCATTATTATATGTTCCATGGTACTGAAAGATCTAGTTGAACTCCCGCCTTTTGGAGAAAAATAAATCATGACATGAAAGGTCACCCAATAACATGCCTCTAGTTCATGGCAGATTTAGAGGCAAGAAGTAGGTGTCCCAATTCCTAATTCATTACATGACACTGTCCTCTATATGGTACAGACCTAACCTCTGAAAAAAGTTACACCAACCAGAGCAGCTGAAAATAAGACAGAAATTTATTTCACTCTCCTGTAGTAACCCCAGAGCACGTGCTTGGCAGGGCACCTCTGCCATCATCAATGTGTGGCTTCTGTTTTCAGGTACGAGAAGCTTTTCTAAATCTGCCAATTTCTCAATCAACAAGAAGAGTAAAAGAGAGTGGGTGGAGTATTCCCACCCATTTTTAAATTAATTTTAAGAGAGAGAGGGGGGTGGGGAATAGTGGGGAGAGAAACATTGGTTTGTTGGTCCACTTATTTATGCATTCACGGGTTGCTTCTTGGATGTGCCCTGACTGGAAATCAAACCTGCAACATTCATACGCAGCCATTTCTAAGAGCTAATCCCAGCAGTTGCACGGAACACTTTGTCGCTCAAGTAACAGGAGCACCACCACAGGGCCACAGCAGGCAGCAAGGGAGGCTGGGAACTGGAGACATCAGTGCCTCGTGCCCTGTAACACTGAGAAGTGTGCTACTACTTTACAAAGGGGGTGGGGAGAATGGAATGGACACTGCAGGGAATTAGCACTTTGCCACATTCTGTACATACAAGAATATATAAATCCCTTACACATACACATATATGTAATCTCATCTAAACATACTTTACAAAAGTAAAGTCTAACCACTCACTCACCGCTCATGCTACAACCCCAGGTTTAGGCGCCCTGCCTCACCAAGCCTCCTCTGGGCTCCTAGGCGGCTGTGCTCTCCTTCAATCCTCCCCCAGAGCAGGCAGAGCTAAAAGGTTCCTGGCACGTACGTAATGCTGGAAAATTCCCTTCTCCATTAGACTGTAATCGTATCAAGGGCAGGAGCTGTACCTTTTTAACCTGTGTAAGTCCAGTCTACACTGAGCCTGATAAACTGTAAGAACACAATAAATCATTTGCTAAACTAAGTTGTCACCAAACATAAGATAATAAAGGTTGCATCTCTACACAGAAACAGAGTCACTGCTGGTGGCCGCCATAGCTGTGGCAGCAGCTGTAGCAATGGCTCACTGGTTCCCCGGCTGCCAGGCACGGGGCTGTGTTTCCTGTGCATTGGCTCATTCAATCTTCTCAAAAATCCTACCCTTTGCTATTTCCATTTGACAGACAAGGCCACTGAAGCACACAGAAATTGAAGAACTTTCCCACACTCGCTGAACTAGTACCTGGTGGATCCAGTATACATCTGAGTGACCCATCCCTAGTCAGTGCTCTGAATCATCCTGTGTCTCACTAGGTGCGGTGGGACAGGGGTGCTTTTGGTAACAGATAGAGAGTGCCTGTTAGAAACCAAGACACAGCCAACCCTGCAGGAAGCTAATGATTGATGACGACACGGTGCAGCCCGCCCCGCAGACATTCCCTCTGCACGCCCACGTCAGTGACGCAGAGATGCTCGCCCTGCTTTCCAAACGGCTCGCACATGTGAGCAAGTCGCTGAAACTTCAACTGTTAAAAAACAATCAAACACTCCAATACCCTAAATCTTTTCTTAACATATCCTCATGGTTTTGTTGTCACATAATAAAACAGAAAATGAAGCTTAGAACTGGGTCACTTGGCCCTTTCTCTTCTTATCTCTTCCCGGTTCAGAATGCTCCCTTAATAGCCAGCATTCTCTTAGATCTGCACTTGGGCCCAACACATTCAAGCCTCGGCACAATCTTCTCTGTAGTTTTAGCCTTTTCCCAGAAAATCGGCTCAGTCTGCCCACCATACCCACTCTGCTTCCTGTCGTAACGCCACTCCCCCTGCGCGCTAGGAGAACCTTGCCTCCTTGTACTGTGTGACTTCGCGGGGTTGATGCTGCCACACTTCTCACAGAAAGTCCGGCGGGTTTTAGGAACCTTGACCATGTTTGCGAGAGCACTAACAGCACGGGAAGAACACCCTAAATCTTTGACCCTCGTGAGACCCCTACCCCAGGGCACATTTAAGTGCCTCGATTGTTTGCAAAATCACAGTAACAACTGAACAAGCAATGACAGCGGAATATAAGTCAGAGAGGACGCAAGAAAGCAGAGTGGGCACTGAGGGGATTCTGATGCATGACGATGACACTAGGGACCAGGCGTGTGTGTGTTTGGGGTCGGGTGGGAAGAGAGAGGGAGGGGGAAGGGGAGGGAGAGGGAGGAGGGTGCTGGGTGGGGACATTTACTTTGCTCTTCATCGATGCTCTGCTGTGTAAGTGCTGATAAGAATCTCCTAAAACTCTTTTAAGAGATATTTTTAATGCAACTTGGGTCTGTTAGGAGGAAAAAAGACTCCTGATTTGGAAGGAAAAGTACAACAAGATTTGATTTCACAGATGCTTCAGAAATAGTGACATAATCTTATCTGTGTTCAGCAAATACAATCTGAGGCACTCACACCTCTGATAAAGGTGTATCACCTTCACTGGTGCAGCAAAGTGCAGATTAAGGTTTTTTTTTAAATGTTGTTCAAATCGCCTGTGAAGCAGCCTTTTATGAGATATGGTTCAAACAATGTTGCGAAGAGCAGAAGACAAAGAATAGGTTTTACAATGAACTGGTTTCCTAGGAAACACTAAAAAATTGTAATGTGATATCTCTTAGAGGTAGTTCAAGGACCCGGGCTCCTCTTCATTTTTTAAATTTTTTGAATGATGTTGTTCAATGTCTGCCTCTCCCTGTCCCTGAAGTGGGCGCTAGGAGAGCAGGAGAAGCGCTCGCACCCAGCAGCCTCCGTGTCCACTCGTCAACCTAGTGCCCACTCCGCACAAAGGAAAAATGTGTGAGCCAAGTTGAACCCATTTGAAGTAAGAAAGGAATAGAATTTGAATCTTTTGCTCTACCATTTAAAAAAATACCCACATCCAGCTCTGGCTGGTGTAGCTCAGTGGATTGAGTACGAGCCTGGGAACCAGAGTATCGAGGTTCGATTCCCAGTCAGGGCACATGCCTGGGTTGCAGGTCAGTTCCCAGCAGGGGATGCATGAGAGGCAACCATACATTGATGTTTCTCTCCCTCTCTCCTTCCCTTCCCCTCTAAAGATAAATAAATAAATCTTAAAAAAAAACAAACCCACATCTCAACTATGAAATTCAGAAAAAAAAGAAAGCCGACCCACTCTTTTTCAAACCACATCTAAATTCATCTGTTTCAAGGTCTTCAAATACCCTTTATTTCAGGTTTATTTTTACTTTGGCTGTTCACCCATCTCTGTCATGTGCCAGCAGAGGAGGCTGACAGAGGGTGTCTGATTTAATAGACTTACACATTTCCCAAGTTCAGATACAAGATCACCAGGGTCTAGAGGAGGCAAAGAAGCTCTGAAAGAGGAGTTGGGAATTTGAAGGTCACGAGCCTTTCAAGGAGGGTGAAGTTTTTTACAATGACATCTCCACCAGCCCTAATTTCTATCCATCATCACTTATGTCAACAGGAAATCAAAATAGGAAAAGTGAAGGAACATCTGGGCTGTGTGGGAAGGAGTTAAATCTGATTTTAAAATAAATAAAACATCAAAGCTTCAAGTTACACTTATTCAAAAATCAGGGATGAAATTAAAATGTTGGTTTAAAGAAGTTTGGGATCATTTTTGTGGATGGGCAAGGGTGGGAGGGGGCTGAAGCATCATATGAAGTTCCCGCTCGTGGCTACTCTCACCCCAGCTTTGCACAAAAACTGGGGAGAGCCCAGAGAAAACAGGGGCCAGGGGGACAGTTGGTGGTGGACACCCTGAACCCCAGCATCAGCAGGCCACATACCCCCTTCGGGGGAGCATGGCATTCTGGGAGGAGACCTCTTGAAGCTGAAAGCAATACCATTGTTTCGTATTTGGGATCTTTGAGGAGGTGAACCCATGAGAGAGTTTTTAGGGTCCTCAAAACACACTGAATTACTGCCTTTTTAGATGGAACTCTGTGTGAGGAGTTGCCCAGGAAGAGGGAGGAACTCAGAATTTGAAGCCTTTCTTCTAGGATGAGGAACTACAAAATGCCACGCCAGCAAAAGCAGATTGACACGCACAAAGGATTTGGGGTTATCTCAAATACCCAAAGAGTATTTGGACACAAGAATTCACGGGGCTTCCTGAGGGCCTGGAATCCAGAGCTGGAAAGACAAAAGCAGGGTGCTCTGTGTCTCTGGGGCCCCTGGACCTCCAGTGCCTGTGTTAGTTTAGACCCAGACACCGCCCTTGTCTGACTCCCTGCACATGGTTCAAAGTGGCCACTCCAGAAACGCAGCCTGACCTTCCAAAGCACACCGCTTCCTGTGGCAGAGACCGACCAGCCTCTCTGAGGGTCGGCCTTGGCACTTGGCATTGGAGCCCAAGGTTTGGAATCTATAACTGGGGTGGTCGATGCAAGTGGAGGCCTGGCAGCCACCCTACCTGGCCAGATCATCGCCCTGGGCATACATTTTACCAAGGTGGTAAAAGACCTGCACTTGGAAAACTGTAAGGCACTGAAGAAAAAAAACGAAAGAAGATGGAAATAAATGAAAGCATATTTGTTCATGGATAGGAAGAATCAACATCATTAAACTGTCCATACTACCCAAAGTAATCTATAGATTCAACACAATTCCTATCCAAATACCAATGGCATTTTTTAAAAGATTTTATTTATTTATCTTTAGAGAGAGGAAGGGAAGGAGAGAAGGAGAGAAATATCAATGTATGGTTGCTTCTGGTGCATCCCCTGCTGGGAACTGGCCCCTGCTGGGAACTAGCCAGCAACCCAGGCATGTGCTCTGACTGGGAATCGAACCGAGATTGTGTGGTTCACAGGCCCGCGCTCAATCCACTGAGCTACACCAGCCAGGGGACCAATGGCATTTTTCACAGAACTAGAACAAATAATCCAAAAATCTATATGGAACCAAAAACACCCTGAATAGCCACAGTGATCTTGAGTAATAAAAACAAAGTTGGAGGTATCACAATACCTGACATCAAACTATCTTACAAGACTGTAGTAGTCAATGCAAAATGGTACTAGCATAAAAACAGACACATAGATTAACAGAATGGAATAGAGATTCCAGAAATAAACCCATGCCTATATGGTCAATTAATATGTGATGAAGGAGGCAAGGACATGCAATGGGCTAAAAACAGTCTATTCAATAAACGGTGTTGGGAAAATTGGACAGATGTGTGCAAAAAAAAGAAACTAGACCACTTTCTACACTATATACAAGAATAAACTCAAAATGGATTAAAGACTTGAATATAAGACTTGAAACCATAAAACTCCTAGAAGAAAACACAAGCAGTAAAATCTCTGACATTTCTCATAGCCATATTTTTTTCTGATATATTTCCTTGGGCAAGAGAAACAAAAGAAAAATAAACAAGTGGGACTACATCAAACTAAAAGTTTTTACACAGAAAAGGAAACCATCAACAAATGGAAAGATAACCCATTAAATGGGAGAAGGTATTTGCCAACAATACATTTGATAAGGTGTTGTTATCCAAAATGTATAAAGAATTGATACAACACAACACCAAAAAAAAATCCAATTGAAAAAAATGGGCAAAGGACCTGAATAGACACTTCTCCAAAAAGGACACACAGATGGACAAAAGACATATGAAAAGATGCTCAATGTCACTATCAGAGAGATGCAAGTTAAAACCACAATGAGATATCGCCTGATACCTGTCAGAATGGCCACCATCAATAAATCAACAAACAAGTGCTGGTGAGGATAGGAAAAAAAGAGAACCCCTGTGCACTGTTGCTGGGAGTGCACACTGCTGCAGCCACTGTGAAAGCAGTATGGAGTGTCTCGTCTCAGAAAATTAAAGATGGAACTGCCTTATGACCCAGCGATTACAGTTCTGAGTATCTGAGGAAACCCAGAACACTATTTTTTCCCTCTTTTTAGTCTTATTCCCTCTCTATATTTTAAATTTTAATTGTTACTGTATTTTTCCCATTACCATTTACTCCCCTTCCAAAACACTAATTTGAGAGAATTATCTGTACCCCTATGTTCGTTGCAGTGATACTGCAGCAATGCTTGCAATAGCCAAGATACAGAAGCAACCCAAGTGCCCATCAACAAACAATTGGATAAAAATGTGGTGGTACATATACACAATGGAATATTGCTCAGCCATAAAAAAGAATGAAACCTTACAATTTGCGACAGCATAATGGACCTAAAGGGTATTGTGCTGGTGAAATAAGTCAGTCACAGAAAGAGAAATACCCTGTGTTTTCATTTATATGTGGAATCTAAAGAACAAAAGCAATGAACAAACAAAATTAAAACCTTCTCATAAATACAGAGAACAGTCTGACAACTGCCAGAGGTATGGGGGTTGGCGGACTGGGGGAAGAAGGTGAAGGGATTAACCAGTACAAACTGGTAGTTACAGCACAGTCACAGGATGTAAATACAGCACAGGGAATATAGTCGATATTATTGTAATAACTGTGTATGGTGCCAGATGGGTACTGGAAATATCAGGGGGGACAGTCTGTAAAGTATATGATTGTCTAACCCACAGATGGCAAACACAAGGCCCGTGTGTTTGCCATCTGTGGGTTAGACAGTCATATGCTCCACCTTGTTTTATCGGGCCCAGCACCTTGTTTCCACCTTGTGGCAGTGCCAAGCTCTTGCTTAACTGTGAAGGAGCAGTTACATGTACACAGTCCTAAAATTCAGCCCTTTGAAGGCAATCGCGAGGCTGATGTGGCCCCCGGTGAAAATGAGTTTGACACTCCTGGTCTAACCACTATGCTATAAGCCCAAAATTAATACAAACCACTATTGAATGGAAACTCTACCTGAAAAATAAAATTTAAAAAGTATAGCATCTCTCCCCTTCTCTAGGCCCCCCTCTGACTGTTTTTAGTGTTAGGCCGACAAG